CTCTGATTATTAGTAAACCAGTCTCCCTATTGTATATCCCAGGCATTTTTCAAACTGCTACTTCTACATTATATCTTCGTGGGACTGTTTCTTGTGTGGTTTACCTAAGGATGGAGTCAGTTTCTTAATGTCTTCTTGGCTCTCCCAGAGCTGAGCCCTCTGATTTTTAAAGTTCCAGGTGTCAAGCTGCACTGATTGTAAGAACTAGCGAAATTGTGCTCCTCTGCTTTTCAAAGCTAAATGTTATGGGGATTCGTCTTCCCTGTGTGGGTTCCCCATGCCTGGGGTGCCTGGTGTGAGGGTCTGTTTCTTTACCCTGTCCATGCCCGTGGCATCCCTCTCTAATGTGGACAGTCCTGCAGTCATTTTAGCTACCAACTGGGTCTCTACCTTTCCTACCCCCTTCAATTTGGCCGCTTCTCTACATTTATCTGTGGAGAGTCTGCTCTGTCCTGTTTTACTCTTTTTAATGCAGTTGTAAACAGTATTTTTTAAAAAATTTCTCCTCCTAGTTTATTATTGGCATGTAGAAATGGAACAGATTTCTGTGTATTAATTTTGTATGCTGCCACTTTTACTGAACTCATTTATTATAGTGGTTTTGATTTTTTTCTTTGGTCTTTAGGGTTTTCTATTAAGCGGGGTTTGTGCAGGTCTGCTGTGGGAAGGGACCTGCCAAGGCTGCAGGTCCCTTCCCACAGCAGACCTGCACAAATCATGTCATCTACAAATAGTGATAGTTTTACTACTTTACCAATTTGGATGCCTTTTCTTTTTCTTACATGATTGTTATGGCTCGGACCTCTATACTATGTTGAAGAAACCTGGGGGAGCAGACATTCTTGTCCTGTACCTGATCTTAGAGGAAAAGCCTTCAGCTTTTCATTTTTGGGTATGATGTTAGCTGTGGGTTTGGGCTTTTATTATGGTGAGGTATGTTCCCTCTATACCCACTGTGTTAAGAGTTATCATGAATAGGTGTTGAATTTTGTCAAATTTTTTTTTTCTGCATCTAATGAGATCATGATTTTTAATCCTTGATTTTGTTAATGTAGTGTATCACATTGATTGATTTGCAGATACTAAACTATCCTTGCATCCCTGGAATAAATCCCATTTGATCTTGGTGAGTAATCCTTTCACTGTTTTGTTGAATTTGGCTTGCTAATATTTTGTTGAGAATTTTTGCATTGGTGTTCATCAGGGATATTACTGGCTTATAATTAGCATTTTTCCCCCTGTAGTATGTATCTTTATTTGGTTTTGGTATCAGAGTAATGCTGGCCTCATGGAAGAATTTGGAAGCATTTGTTCCTCTTCAATTTTTTGCAGTAATTGAAAAGGACAGGTATTAACTCTTTAAATGTTTGGCTTTACCTGTGAAGCTATCGGGTCCTGGACTTCTGTTTGTTGGGAGTTCTTTGATTACTCATTCAATCTCATTACTAGTAACCATTCTGTCCAGATTTACTGTTCTCGATTCAGTTTTGGAAGATTGTATGTTCCTAGTAATTTGTCCATTTCTTCTAGATTGTCCAGTTTGTTGGCATATAATTTTTTGTAGTAGTCTCTTATAATTCTTTGTATTTCTGTAGTGTCAACTGTAACTTCTCTTTCATGTCTGATTTTATATATTTGAGTCCTCTTTTTCTCTTGAGTGTGGCTAAAGGTTTATCAGTTTTATCTTTTCAAGAACCAGTTCTTAGTCTTGGTCTTTTGTTATTGTTGTTTTGTTTTTGGTCTCTATTTCATTTACTTCCACTCTGATCTTCATATTTCATTCCTTCTACTAACTTTGGGTTTGTTTGTTCTTTTTCTAGTTCCTTTAGTTGTAAGGTTAGATTGTTATTTTTGTTTCTTGAGGTAGATCTATATCGCTATAAATTTCTATCTTAGAACTGTTTTTTCTGTGTTCCAAAGATTTTGGAACATTGTATTTCCATTATTATTTGTCTCAAGGTATTTTTTAATTTCCTTTTGGGTTTCTTCATTGACCCATTGGTTGTTCAGTACCATGTTGTTCAGTGTCTATGTGTTTGTGGTTTTTCTAATTTTTTTCTTTTGATTGCTAGATCTTGTGGTCTGAAGTGAGTCTTCATATGGATGTCTTTTTATTTTTTTTTTTTAATCATTCTTTCAGTTACCCTATGTCTTTTGATTGGAGCATTTAGCCTGTTTACATTTAAAGTAATTATTGATAAATACATTTGCCCTTGAATAAGATGGTGGTTAGGGATACTGACTGATATCCATGCAGTTGAAAATCCACATAAAACTTGTGAGTGCCCCAAAATTTAACTATTAATAGCCTTCTGTTGACCAGGAGCCTTGCTTGGTAACATAAATAGTTGATTAACACATATTTTGTATGTTAGATGTACTAGTATTCTTAAAGTAAGAAAATCATAAGAAATACATTTTTTTATAAAAAAAAATCCATGTACAGTTCAACCCTATGCTGTTCAGGGGTCAGCTGTACTTCCATTTTATTTGCTTTCTGGTTGTTTTTGTTCTTTTCTGCTGCTTTCTTTTGTTTGATGACTTTTAGTCTTATGCTTAGATTCCTTCATATTTTGTGTCTATTATAGGTTTTAGGCTACCATGAGGTTCATATATAACAATGTATATGGCAGTCTATTTTAATGGTCACTTCAGTTTGAACATATTCTAAAAGCACTACATTTTTACTGCCCTCCCCTTCCACATTTTATTATTTGGTGTCATACTTTACATCTTTTTATTTTGTGTACCCATTAACTAATTATGGTAGATAAAATTGATACTACTTTTGTCTTTTAACCTTCATACTATTATAAATAATTGATCTACCTTTACTGTATGTTTTTACCAGTGAAACTTTTTCTTTCATAATTTTCTTCTAATTATGTCCTTTTACACTTAAAGAAGTCCCTTTTAACATTTCTTGTAAGGCTGGGTTAGTGGTGATGAACTCTTTTGTTTGGGAAACTTTTTATTTCTCCTGCAATTCTGAATGATAATCTTGATGGGTATTCTTGGCTGTAGGTTTTTTCTTTTCAGCACTTGGAATAGATCACGCCATTCCTTTCTGGCACAGTTTTTGCTGAAAAATCAGTTGATAGCCTTGTGGGGGTTTCCTTTGTATGTTATTAGTTGCTTTTCTCCTGCTGCTTTTAAGGTTTTCATTAATTATTGACATTGTAACTACAGTTGACCCCTAACAATGCAGGGGTTAGGGGCACCAATCCCCTGTGCAGTTGAAAATCCACATATAACTCTTGACTCCCCCCAAGTTTACTAATAGCCTACTGTTGACCAGAAGCCTTAAACAGCTGATGGACACACATTTTCTGTTATATGTATTATATACTGTATCCTTAAAGCTAGAGAAAAAAATCAGAAGAGAAAATATAGTTCTGTACTGCATAGAAAAAATATCTGCATGTAAGTGGACTTGTGTTGTTAAAAGAGCCAACTGTATCATGTGTCTTGGTGTGGACCTCTTTGGATTCATCTTGTTTGGGGCCTTCTGTTCTTCCTGGTGCTAGATGTCCATTTTCTTCTCTAGGTTATAGAAGTTATCAGTTATTATTTGGTAAGTTTTGTGTCCATTTTTTCTTCTCTCCTCTCCTGGGATGTTTGTAATGCAAATGTTCAGCTTGATTTCTAATACCTTGTGTTCCAGATTGCTGATTCATTTTTCTGCACCTTCTATGATATTGATACACTAGAGGGTATTTTTCATTTGTTACTGTATTCAGCTCAATCTTTTTTATATTTTCTACCTCTTTAAGTTCTCACTGAATTCAAGTCCAGCTAGCATCTTTATGGCTGTTACTTTGAACTCTTTTATCAGGTAGATTATCTCTGGTTCATTTTTGAGGTTTTGTTTTGGTTCTTTTGTTTGGAACTTACTCCATTTTGTCTACTCTGTATTTAGTAGGTCAGCTACATCTGGTCTTGAAGGTAGTGGCCTTCTGTAGGAGGCATCCTGTGGGGGCCAATAGTGCTGTCTCCCCTGGCCACCAGAACCAGGTGCTCCAGGCATGTCCCCTGTATGGGCTGTGTACGCACTGGTGGGTGGCAGTGAGATTTGGCCACAATTGCTCTGAGCATTGTGGTAGGCGCAAGCTGTGCCTGTTGGGAAGGTGAGTCCAAAGATGAATGCCTGGTCAGTGCCAGTGGTGCTAGCAAAGTAGAAAGTGACCTGCAAACTCTTTCATTCCCAGAGAAAATTCCTACAGATTGTTGCCCCTCCCAGCACATGCCCTAAAATTAGTAAATGTCCTTCATGTATAACCCAGTACTTTTCAAACTGCTACCTCGGGTCTCAGAGTGATTAAGAGTAGACCCTCAGTTTTCTATAGCCTTTGGCTCTCCCAGAGTTAAGCCCCACAGATTTCCACAGCTCAACATTATGGGAGCTCATCTTCCTGGTGCTGCAGACCCCACCCTATGAGGGGCTTGACTCTTGCCACTTATGAGTGATATCCCTCCCACTTTATGGGTCACTGTGCCCAGGATGTGGTTCTTGACCTTATCTCTGCCCCTCCTACCCTTCTCAGTGTAGCTTTTTGTCTTTAGCTGTGTTAAGAGCTGTTCTGCTAAGTCTTTGGAACTGAGTGAGTTGCATGTTGTGTAATTGCATCATTAGTGTGTCCGTGGGAAAGGTGAGTTCATAACCTTACTGTGCCATCCTCCCAGGAGTTCCAGTGGGAGCAGTGGGGGTGCCTGCTGGTGGTGCTCATGCATGCCCTGCTGTGCCCACGTATGCGTGAGCCGCTGCACTCGCATCTTCTGTGTTGCCACCGAGAGCTAGGTATAAACCAGTATATTCTAAGTCCTATCCAGAGCTGCCTTTTGATAGAAAAGTTAATTGCACCATCTACCTTTTATCAATCTTCTGTGGTGGTTTAGGCAACATTCAATTCCAGACTTGAAGCCCTCAAATTAGGTAACAGTGGCTCTTTAAAACTAGACACCTTTTCAAGGTTTTTCTAGTTCAACACACGTGACACATGTTACTTGTGTTCTTCTGTTTCTCGATAAAGGTTGATCTGAAGGCCACTTGTGCAAAGACACTGCTACTCTTGTGAACAAGATTGGATTTTAATGCTCTGAACAATTCCTACTTCTTCACTGTCACAATAATCTGGGTAGAGGCCAAAGCTGAAACCATTTGTATATGTAAAAATAAGCAAAGCAGGTCTTTCTGGACTTGACATCACAGCCCTAGTCAGGTCCTTGTTTGCAGAGGGAGCCTGAGGGCCAGTTCAGTCAGATGACCCATATCTGGTTGTTTGCTTCGCTTTTTGATGTATTCCAGAGTTTTCACCTAGGAGGAAAAAGAACAATCAGCATCCTTTCTGGTTCACCAGTGCGCCAACAAATCAACCATATTGTGAGTTTATGCTTTCTTACAGCTAAAGTCTTTTGAAGGATAAAGGAGGAGAACCAACCAACCAAGTCTTTTAAAGTATGGGGCGCCTGGGTGGCTCAGTCAGTTAAGGGTCTGCCTTCAACTCAGTCATGATCTCAGGGTCCTGGGATTGAGCCCCCCAGCTGGAGGCCTGCTTTTCCCTCTCCCTTTGCTGCTTCCCCTGCTTGTGCTTTCCCTCCCCATCTCTCTCAAATAAATAAAATCTTAAAGACTTCCTTTTTTTTTTTTAAGTACAACTTCTTAGATTATAATTTGCTTATAAAACCAGATTTTGGTGTGACCAGGAATAGCTCATATTTTTATAAATGTGTATTTTATTCAGAGGGACTAAAAGGAAGGGGAGACCGGGGTTTGTTGAGGCCAGTTGTGCTCTGGCCGGTGGCTTTATGTGGTTCACCAGGACCCCCATGCCTTCCCAGTGCCTCACCATGGTCCTGGTATCTGCACAGCCATGTCTCTGTGCCAGGTGCCACAGGTTGACAGAAAGCTGGTTGAGTCTATTGTTGCGCAGGTCTCCGTGTGCCAAGATACTATTAAAGAAGGAAAGGCCCAAGGAGCTTTGGCGCTTCAAAGCCTGAAACAGAAGAGAGAGATTACCATCTGGACATGGGGCCCAGGTTGGACCCAGTTTTGATGCCAGCTCTACCATGGATCTTCCGTAGGGCAAGCTGCTTAACCTCCCAAGTCCTGCCTTCAGCTGTAGGAGAGTAAGGTAATGGCAGCTCCTCGGGTAAGTGAAGATTGAATGAGATGAAGCATATGAAGCCTTCATTCTGTGCCTCCCACATGGGCATTACTCATGAAATGGAAGCAGAAGCAAGTGATACTTTCATGAGACTCCGCACACAGCAGGGTAAAGGAATGAAGTGATAGGCCTTCTTCCAAGTACAAACAAAAACTGAAAGGCTACAATAAAATGTCTTTCAGATGTATCCTGAGCCATCCAAAGTTATGGTCACTATCTAGGGCAGAAATAAAGACCAACTGACAGCTCCCCATAAACAGCCCAGGCCCAGCTTTCTTAAGAACTATTCTACAATACCAAATCTTGCCTCTGATTAGAGGTGCCTAAACAAGCGAAGTCTAAACAAAATGTCAGGGTAGACCAAGCCTGAATTCAACAACAGGCCTTGGAGAAAGGATACAAGTTCTGAAAGGTAAACAGAGGCATGTGGGAAGGCCCAGTGAACAGGTGGGCCTAACCAGCCAGCCAGGTTCTGTCACGGTCCATGGGGACCCTGGACAGCTGTTGACCTGGGCCCTTGCCTCACAATGCAGAACATCAGTGAGTCCAGATGAGAAAGGAGCCCTTAAAGTGGGCCAGGTATTCCCCGTGCTTTATACAGCTCATCTCAATCTACACAGCACATCTTCGTGGGAAGCACATTTCTGACCAGCTAGGCACATGTAGGTACATGTTTTGCGCTGTCTCCCAAGGATCCCAACCCCTGGTTATTCAAGCACTGTACTGGGTGCTAGGGTGAAGGGACTTTGTAGATGTTATTAGAGTTACGGACCTTAGAGAATCCTGGATTATCTGGGTGGGCTCAATCTAATCCCTTGAGCCCTAAGAGGCAGAGAAATTTCTGAGAGACCAGTAGCAGAAGAGGCAGAAGGGGTGAGTTCACAGAGATTTGAAGCATGAGGATGCTACCTATCATTGATGGCTTTCAAATGGAAGAAGGGGGCCAAAAGCCAAGAAATGCAGACAACTTCTAGAAGCTGAGAACACCTCTAGCCAAGAGCCAGCAAGGAAATGGACCTTAGTTCTACAACTGCATGGAACTCAAGTCTGCCAACACCCTAAAGAAGCCAGTCAGTCAACACCTTGATTTTCACTGTCAACTCACCAAACTGATAATATAAATGAACGTTTTAAGCTGTTGAGTTTGTGGCAGTTTTTTTTAAGGCTGCAAGAGAAACCCAATCCACTCCCATTTTGCAGAGACCCTCAAAGCTCACAAATCTTTGGGGAACTTGCTCACGGACCACAGGTATTAAGTACAAAGCAGGGATTTGGGCTCCAGTGGTCTGACTCCAAAGCCTGTGCCCACACCCTCCCATGTTCCACTCCAGCTGATGGAATATTCCCATAGACCCAGTGTTAGCATCGCATTAGGAATCCAAATTCTGAAGAGGCTAAGAGTTGCTTTTCTCAACTACTCAAGGTGGACAAAACCAACCTAGTAACCATTGATCTGTCCATCCATCATTCCACAAATATTCATGGGAGCCAGATCCTCTACTAACTACTAAGCCAACTTAATCCTTCCTGCCATCCTCTGCCATGTGAGAATTTACAGTCTCTTGGTGGAGGAAAAAAAAACTATCAAGGTGCAGCTTCAAGCACAGTTGGGCAAGGGTGGCTGAGCAGCAATGAAGAGACCTCCATTGCAGGGCCAGTTGAGCCTGCCTTGGCAACGGCCCGGACCTGTGACAGTCACAGAAGCAGCTGAGCTGACTGAATGTTATGGTCAAGGAGTGGGGTCATGCCGTGCACTGCCCAAGCCTGCAGGCCCTGGGAGAAAAGCGGCAAGTACCGGGCACAGACTCATTAAGTGGCAGCTGACTGCCTGCTTGGGATCCTCTCTCTAATCAAGACAATGCAGTTGTTCTACCCCAACCAGGAACCTGGGCAGAGATCACCATTCCGTGGGTTCCAGCCCAACCTGCTGCCTGCCTTTCGAACCAGCCCTTGTCTGATGGCTGGGACAACAGGAGGGTGCGTATCTACAGGACAAAGCTAAAACAAATTCTATTTCAAATACAACTAAAAGAGTCTCCCCTGAGAGAGGTCCTTTAACTACATTTCACTGAAGTGAGAGAGTTTTTTTTAAAAGACAAGGGAGACAATATCTAACAACTAGCTATTTCTCTATTCTGTATCTTCTCAGTAAGCATTTTACCTTAAAAAGCCCAATCCACATGTTTCAAATGCACAGCCCATTAAAAGTGAAATCATTAGAGACAGATCTGAGGGATGAGAAGTCATGCCAGCCAACACGCAAAGACCCAAAAACCACGAACACATTATGAGAGAACCAAATCAGGGCCTTGAAGCCCCCCTCCTCTTCTCCAGAGGTTTTAAATAGAAAAGAGCTTCTTTTCATTCTTTTCCTATGAGAATTGTCATTTCCAGGAAGCTGCACGGGTCTGGCATGATTCCCAGCTTCACCACACCCAAACAAACAACTTCACGAAGTTCATGAGTAAACTGGCAAGCCCCTTCATGTAGATTCAGAGAAAATTTTGGAAGCAGGGCTGCTCCCAGCATCGAGATGACCTACTCAGGCCTGGCATCGGCACTGGGGGTCTTCAAAAAGCAGGAAGCTTTGCTCTCCACCTGGTAGAGAAATCTGACCCGTTTCCCAGGTCCCAGATTCCCAGGGCCCCTGCCATGACATGCTTGCCTACGCTGAATTTCGCACTGCATTGTTAAAATGAAGGATGGTACGTTCCATTTTAGTTCGGTAAATGTGCATATATGGAAGGACATTTTCACTAAATGTCCCTGGTATTATGTGAGTTGAAATGTTCCTTGGAAGAATTCCAACTTTGCTATTTTTTCAGAATCCTGTTTCAGAGTCATTACTGCAATCAGTGCCCCCTCCCCCAAGAGAAAAAGAGACATAAACATTAAATACAACCACAGCACTATCCCCCCCACAACTGCAAAAATATGTTCCAAGACCCCCAGTAAATGCCTGAAACCACGGACAGTACTGAAGCTGGTACGTACTGTTTTTTCCTATACATACATACCTCTGATGGTTTATAAATTAGGCACAGTAAGAAATTAACAAAATAGAATTATATACTATAATAAAAGTTATGTTAATCTGGTCTCTCAAAATACTGTACTGTACTCACCCTTATGATGACGTAAAGGGATAAACTCCATGAGATGAGGTGAGTGACACAGGCATCGTGACATCATGTTAGGCTGCTACTGACCTGATTAGACGTCAGGAGCGGGGAGAATCTGCTTCTGGACAGTAGTTGGCCCCAGGTAAATGAAACTCCATGGCAGCGGGGGGCGGGGGGTAGTGGTAATGGGACACAACTACTACATATAGTTCTTGGCTTTATTTTTGTGAGCTTGGGGGTTGTGCTAGGCTATGGTCATTTATGCTGTCAGTGGTCACATCTGATTAAACCCAGCCTGTTGCATCAGGGTGAAGAAATGTATTTTCAAGCCATGTGGCAAATTTTTTGGGGTGTAATCTGTTAAACACAGTACTGCTCTAAGAGGTCCCTGGGCTAGAAGTTGGAGCCAGAACCCATGGTTTTAAAAATCAGGAAAAGGTGCCTAAGAAGAATTTTTCGTGGCAGAGGAGCTCAAGGTAAAGGACCCCATTTCTCCTGTAGGGTAGGAAGAGCTCTCCCCTGAAAACTACCAATACATAGAGACAAAGAAGAGCTGGGTCTTTAGCCCTAAAAGTTTGCCTTTGTTTGAAAAAGGCCTTTCAGTTGGGGGAGAATTGTCTCTTCTGATACTCACTGGTTTGATAAACCAGTCTCCCTGAAGAAATTGGGGTTCTGATTCTGCCCTGTCCCCTGACAGGGAAGTGCCCTCCATGTGTTAACTTCCTCAGCCCTGCATCCAGAAGGGTCCCCAGGTTGGTGGGACACACGAACACATGCTCCCTCCCTAGAGAGGGTGCTATGATGCACGTGGGACCTACTGCTAACCCTAAGGCTGGCCCTAGAACTTGGCAGGGGGCACTGGAGGATGGAGTCCAGAAAAAAATCCCACTCTCTCCAGCACCTGCTTGAATATCCTGGGGATAATGGGAACCCAGAACACATATGTGTATCATACACGTGTACGTCCATACATAGCTATATAATATTCTTGTGGTTTTCTGGTGGGGAAGGGGGTAAGGACAATGGTGGTATTTATATAGCCCCGGAAATGAGTATGAATTAAACCTAAAATTCAGTTTGAACTTATTTTGTCTTCAAAGGGTTTGACAGGGTGGGGATAAAGGAGCAAAACCTAGGAACAGGAGAATCCAGGGAAGGGAAGGAAGGGGAAGGCTGGGAAGCTACTGGGAAATAGGCAGTCCAAAATCTGCCTTAGCTTTGGGAAAGGGAATTGAGGAGCCGGGCGGCAGGAGAGTACAGGGCCTGCCAGGATGAAATTAGGAATGACACATGGAGGTGGAAACAAATTCAGGCACCAGCCGACCCACGGAAAGAATGCAGAGAAAGGTCAGGCACCAGCTTTGACTCCTAAGGCACTGCCCCCCTCCGCCCCCCTTCCCACAGGCCCTGACTACACAACAGGAATCAGCCTGAACACACTCCCAGAGATGAGCCTAGGTCTGAACAAGCCTGAGATGGGGCCTCTGGGAGCCCTCTCTCACCCACATGTTAGGGCTGAAGCTGCAAAGGAAGCGGTGGTTGGCATAACCGGGGAAGAGAACAGGTAGGTATGTAGACTGTACTAAATGGAAATTAAGTTTAACTATCATCTAACTATATGGAGACTACGGAAAAACTGCTCTGAAAACATAAAAGATGCAACATCTGACATATCCATGTAATTTGTGGTTAAGAACACAGGTTCCAGAAGACTGCCTCAACCACATTGCGTAGCTACCACTCTAGGACTGTCTCCCTGTCCGTACAGTGTAAAGGAACAGCTGTCCCACCTCACTGGTCTGTCGTGAGAATTCAGTGAAATGATAAATGCAGAGTCCTCAACGCTACACTCACATAACAGAGGCTGGAGAGGGTGCCTGGGTGGCTCGGTTGGTTAAGCATCTGCCTTCGGCTCAGGTCGTGATCCCGGGGTCCTGGGATCGAGCCCCGCATTGGGCTCCCTACTCAATGGGGAGCCTGCTTCTCCCTCTGCCTCTCTGTGTCTCATGAATAAATAAATAAAATCTTAAAAAAAAACAAAGGCTGGAGAAACAACCTCCACTGTGGTGGGACAGGAACCACATGCCACTTCTTACAAGGTAAGCAAAAGGCCTTGGTCGAGGAGGGCAATGCAGTGGCTCAAAGTTCAGCCTTGGGGATCAAGGTGATGACCCTGTTCTATCACCAGAGGAAACCCAGGGCTGTGGAGAAACCTCTCTGAGCCTCAGTTTCCTTTACTGTCCAATGAGAATAAACAGAGCACTTGCACCTCAGGCTGGTCATGGGCATGAAAAAAACCTATGATGTGCAAAATACAGGCAATTTATTCAGCATGTATGGATCAAGCACCTGCTGTATGCGGGCCTCTGTTCAAGGTGGAGGGATGCTGTGGTGAGTGACACACAGGCCCCAGAGACAGGGAGGTCTCCGAGACTCATGTCGCAAGGTCCCAGCCCCCCAGGGAGCTGACATTCTGGTAGGAGAGGCAAGCAACTGAAAAACACAGAGCATTTAGTACAGGAGCAAAAGCCCTGGATGGAGCACTCAGTTATCGGTCTGCACAGAAACACATTACTCACATGACCAAGTTTCCTTTACAGAATGGACCAATGTCCAACCACCCTGGAAACCCATGCATTCAGAGGGAGCAGGCAGAGGGCACCTACCTCATCCTTGGCCAAGGTTTTCAGGTGCTCCAGGATCTGAGCCATCACCGTCTCACAGAGCTTGTTGTTTTCAGCCAGAAACTTGGAGTCTCCCCCATACAGGCTGTCGTTGGAGTCAACTGATGGAACAGACCAGAGCAGTGAGCAAAGCGTGGTCTAGCCATACAAAGGAATATTATGCAATCATAAAAAGGAATGAAATTCTGATACGTGTTGAAACGTGGATGAATCTTGAAAGCTTTATGTAAGTGAAATATGCCAGACATAAAAGGACAAATACTGCATGATTCCTCTTCCACAGGACACTGGAACAGGCAGATTTGTAGAAGGACGCAGAGTGGAGGACACCATAGGCGGGGGCAGGGGGGCGGGGGTATAGGAAGTCACTGTCTATTGGGTACAGAGTTTGTTGGAATGATTAAAAAATCTTGGAAATGGGTAGGGGTGATGGCTCCTCAACACTGTGAATATACTTGATGAAAGCTGAATTATGCACTTAAAAAGTTAAAATGGTAAACTTCACTATGTAGGTTATGAATTTTTAAAAAATGTAAAAAAAGCCTTAGTACAAAAAGTCCATATCTTTGACTTGGGGAAGCCATTCCAAGGTATTTATTTTTAAGAAAATAATCCAACAGGGGCGCCTGGGTGGCTCAGTTGGTTAAGCGTCCAATTCTTGGTTTTGGCTCAGATTGTGATCTCAGGGTTGTGAGACCAAGCCCTGCATCGGGCTCCATGCTCTGCGGGGGAGTCTGCCTGAGGATTTCTCTCTCTATGCCCTTCCCGTCACATGCACGCTCTCTCTTTAAAAGTCTTTAAAAAAAAAAAAATCAGAAAAATAAATGCTCTGTTACAGTATTAAATACTTGGAGAATAATAAAAGTATATGATCTATAGTTATTAATTACCACATACTACACTATATTATTGTTATAACATACTATTAATAACACATAATTATAAGATTAATTTTTAAAAAGTGACAAAAGTATCCATAGTAGAGCCGATATGTGTACATCTATATTTCCCAATTTATAGCTGCTTAAGAACCAATTCTTTTAATTAAAAAAATTAAATTTCATGATTTCCTGTCGTCAGTCTTGAACCTTCCAGAGAATGGGACGGGAATAGGCACACAGTAATTAATTAATTTCAGATATGCCTTCTGTACATTTCTAGTTGCTATTTCAAGAATAACAACTCTTCTTACTGCTTTTTATTTTGAAAACTGGCAAGGCTGCCGAAAAGTCGGGAAAACAGTACACTGAATACATACCTGTGCTCTCCACGACACACAAATACAGACACACAAACACATAATGGAGTTCTGTGGCTGAACCAGTCGTAAGCAAATTGCAGACACGTTGCCTAAAAATAAGAACAACTGCTCCCCAGCAGTCTCCTTGCTCCCCAGCCTCTCTGTGTAAAGGCGATCTCTAATCCACTTCTGAACTGCCTGTGTATGGAGCTGCGTCTCAACTGCTATCCACCAGTCAGAGGAGGACAGCTATTCTCTTAAAAGAATGTAAAAGATTGGGATTCTGGTAAAGGAATGTGATTCAGCCATTCACCACCACCTGAGTTTGCAGGGCGGCAGGAAGGATTTTCTCAAGTCTACTGCTGAGGACCAGAATAGTTCCTGGCATAAATTCTCAGGCTTACTCCGGGTTGGAATCTACTCTCTTTCTGATGAGCTCAGCACTGGAAAAGAGAGAAGGTCTAAGACCGCCCATGGCCAACACACCCCATGGTTCCTCCCCAGAGGGGCCAGGGGTGTGTTCGGAGCAGGCTGCTCACTTGCGCGCGCGCGCACACACACACACACTCTCTCTCTCTCTCTCTCTCTTTCTCTGCACCTCCTGGATGAGGGCCTGCTCTGCACCAGGTTCCAGGCTAGGAGCTGGGGACCCAGTGGGGGGCAAGGCTGATTCAGTCCCTGCCTCACAGACGCTCACAGACTGTAAGGAGATGCAGACCAGCAAAGAGGCAATCACAACAGCATGTACTGATTGTTAGAAGCGGGCAGTGCAAGGGGTTATGAGATCCTAAAATCTAGGCTTGGGATGGAACTCTGGAATTAGCAAGATCAGGCTAAGCTCTACAGGTTAAATTCACTAGATGAAGTGCTAAAGGGGGAACGGGGGCGGGATGAGTTTTCCATGCTAACACTTGGTGGTGACGCAGGGAGGAAAGGAGAAACTTGAGAATTAGAAGGAAGTTGGTCAGACCAGTGTGTGCAGTGGCCCTGCGAGTGCAGGCGCAGCTCTTATGAGGGAGATAAATGACATCCCTGGCAAGCGGACACTAAGAATAGCCCACAGTCCCTGCATCTGTCTGGCCCTGGGATCATGACCCTCAACACCTCAAGGGCCTGGCAGGTGGCGTGGAGCAGCCAAGGGGCTACAATGGCTTCACGGAGGCATCCTGGGTTGTGGTCTTCCGGCCAGATCGACGCTATCTGCATATGAAGTAAACATTCAGTACTCCGCCATCCTCCCCTTCCATGTGGAACACGCCCACTCTCTCACAGGCTTGGGTGAAAGCGCTGGGGTTCTTGCTCCAGGTGATTTCACAATGCCATCTTATTAACAGAGAAAGAAAGCAGCAAAGGCATCCTTTGGAAATGCAAAAAAGTTGTGACCCTAGTTCTTCAGAAGTTCTAACCTGTGTCAACACTACAAGGCTGCCTAGAATAAGGGATGGGAAAGCAAAGCCTCCTTCGGACCCCCTGGGCCTCTCTCCTACCAAGACGATTGTCAGGTCACAATTATGCATCCAGAGTAAACACAGCTGGGCCAAGAAAAAAGGGAAAAAAAAACCCACCCATCCTTCCGCTTTCTCCTCTAAAAGCTAGAAGTCTAAAAGGCTCCTGCCTATCAAACCTAGCCACGCTCCCTTTGCTAGCTAGCACTCCGGCCCCCAGTCTGCCGTGGCTGTGGTAAGCTTAGAGGGTTAAACGAATCTGCTCTAGAAGAGGGAGGAGAGGGCTTGCCCCTCTCACAGGGCCTGGGGTTTGCAGACCCACGTCCACGTCAGTGCCTGGTCCTCAGAAGTCTCTATAGTTGCAAGCCCTCAGTGTGCACTTGGCAAAAAAGAGGAAATAAAAATGCCAACAAATAAAGGAAAAGGTGCTCAATCTCATTAGTCATCAGAGAAATGCAGATTACACTCATCAGAAGAGCCAAAATGAAAAAGACTGACCGCAGGGAAGGAACAAAGGGAACCCTCATTCATGCCTGGTGGGGTTGTCAATGGGTACAACCGTTTTTGGAAGACGGTGAGACAGTATCTACCAAAGCTGAACATAAGCAAGTCCCATGAGCCAGCGACTCCACCTGTAGGCAAAGAGCCAACAGAAATGTACACCAAGAACATGTCCAAGAATGTTCACGGCCAGAACCAGAACCACTGGAAACATGCACATGTTCATCCGTCAGGGAATGAATGAATTCTGGTACGGTCACGCCATGGAATACGACACGGCAATGCAAAACGAGGAATTCGGCTACGCACAACACAGACAGAGCTCACACACGGAATACTGAGTAAAAGAAGCTAGACACCAAAAAGTATGCATGCTAAATGACTTCATTCACATAAAAGTGAAAACTGTATAAACTAACGTGCGATGCTACAAGTCGAGAGAGTGGTGAACTGTGGAGAGGAAGTGGTGGTGCTAACTGGAAGGGGGGCACGATCTGGGGGGAGGGTTACCTGGGTGTGCTCACTATGTGATGAGTCACTGAGCTTTACAGCGGATAGTATGTATGTAGCGTGTTACACTTTAATTAAAACACTGTTCTTTTGTAATTGAGGAGGGAGCGTGATACACGCCCCACAGTTCTGGGGCGTAAATTCCACTTCCGTCACTAACTGGCTATAGGACCTTGAGTAAACCTCAGGGTCTGGGTGTGCCCTTACTGGAATGGAAAGTGGGGGCACCCATGCTTGTCTTACACTCTGCAGTGCTGTAAGGAGTATAGGAGGAGGATCCGCGGCGTCTGGTGTGCTACCTGGCATGCAGTAGGAGCTCAAGTCGTGGGAGCTGTCATCCTTCACATCAACCAGCCTCCCTAAGTTACATCTTAACGATTAGCCCCCAAATCCCAGCTAGAGGAAGCCTCTGAGAGTCATAGGGGAAGGCCCTCCTGCGAATTTGCTTCCTGAAATTTCCAAGTGTATAGAGACAGTTGCTTAAACCCTCAAGTACGTCATTACTGGCCAAAGCACTTTTAACAATAGGGCCATGTTCTGGGAAACCAATCACTGGAACTGAGGGTTTGATAAGCGAGTAGATGCTTGGGCTCTGCAGGCAAAGGTCTGGAGTTGGGACTGTCCTGTGTGTCCAGGATATGAGAAGTCCGCTTTCAAATTTCTAGCAGCAAATTCAGAATGGCTGGTAGCACATAGGGGAACAAGGCCACCTCCTTCCTTCTGAGCATCTGAACTAGGGGTTCACGGAATCTCAGCATCACTTGAAGAACTGGGTAAAGTCCCACCTGAGACTGGGGTTAGGGGCAGGCCCTGAATGAAGCTCAGGCATGTATGTATTTAACCACCTTTCTAGGTTACTCGTAGTGCACCAGAGAGAGCACAGATCCAAAAGAGTGCTTCTCTAAAACTTGTCTGACTGTTGAAATGATTTTGGATGTTTGTTCTAGACAAAATTCTCAGGCCTCTTCTTGGGGATCCTAATTAAGAAGGGGTGGGATGGGGCTCAGGAATCTGCTCAGGGAATTCTTATTTGGGCACATTTAGCAAGGCCCTGGAGTAGAAGTTCCTGGTGGGTAAAAAACCCAGGAGATTAATCAAAGAAAACAAAAAAAAATTTCACTGGACTCTCATGAACTTCAAGCTTGGAGCAGTATGGGAGGAGGGCACCCCGCTACCTTTGTCTATGTGGTAGAGGTAGGTCTCCTGGCTCATGGCGGAGAGCAGGTGCAGGACGCAGGTGTAGATGCGGATTTTATCGTCACCGCTGTCCTCCCAGGTGTAGTCCTGGATCACGTTGAGAAGCTCTCGAACAAGAAACAGGACCCCATGTTCGGGATGATCCTAGTGGAAAGCCAAAACAGGAGAAATAATCCTAGATATGAGGCAGGAAGGGGGGGGGAAAGCCCCCAAAACCATGAAGACAGAAGCCCAGGCCCCTCCCGTTCGCAGCTGTGGAGGACTTACAGTGCCGGCCACTTCCCGGAGGCAAGCCCACTCATGAGCCTGGTTCGGGAACACCGAGAAAACAGAGACTGTTGTTAACCCCACTGATGAGCATGCTCCACTCTTGGGAGACAAGCCCTGAGAGCCTCCTTGGATCCAAGGAATCGAGGAGGCCAAGTTACCTGTCAGCTTAATGGCCTGTTTCCAAAATTACAGTCTTGTTCTCCCACGTGTGTAGCAGTAAAAAGCCCTGTTCCCTCGACTACAAAAGCAAGACTGCGGGTCTTGCAGCAGATGCAACGGCAGAAGCCACCTACTTTGGGTAACCCCCCCCCCGCAAATGATCACTGTCACTACCAAAGACACCAGCTTTAAATACAGCATTGCTCTTTAGGGCGTTCAGTGACATTAACAGCTAAATTGAGGACGCTCTCTTGGGAAAGGAAAAACCCAAGAGACACCCAGAGTTTAGAATGGTGTTTCTCAGATGCTGAAATGAACCGAAAGAGGGTTCCGGACGGTAAAAAGCTGGCAGCTGGCTTCCCTTCCGACAGGCTACCTGGGATTCTGGGGCCCTCCTCCTGAACACACCCCCCCCCCAGACCTCTACCGCCAGGGGTGAGTGCCCGGGCCCTGCCGCCATCGCCTTGCTGACCTGGTGGCCACACCTTTATGGCTCCTGGGACCAGCTGGACCCCCCACAGTCCTGCCAGGCCACCGTGGCCTTGGTAGAAGAACAAGGCCATTGCCAAACCATGGGCCTTGTTGTGAGGGGATAAATACCCCAAACTTGTTCCACTCCTGCTTCCAGTCTGCGGTTGGTCCCGGCCCCTGGCTGAAACGAGTTGGAGAGAAGGAAGCACGCCCGGGTGACGCAGTCCCCGGGGGGCCAGTCTCCCACACCGATCTCCATGGAAGGGCAAACAAAGGAGGCTACAGCCGGCAGCTTGTGTGCCAAGGAGGTCTGGCCTCCCGGCCCTACTGTTCCCTTGGACTGAAATCTTCATCTGCAAGACCTGGCCAGACCCGCTCCTCGATGGTCTCTAGATCCCATCTTTCATGCGGGCTCCTCTTTGAGGCCTTCCCTGGTCATCCATCCAGAGCCTTCGACACCCCCTCCCCCAGTCTCCATCACAAATCGTCCTTATTTTTTCAGAGCAGTTCTGAAGTGACTTATTTATTCCTTCTGGGAATATCTCTGACGGCCTCTCTTGGTTTACGTTTCTCTCTCTTTCATCCTAGCCTCTGAGCCCGGGGAGGACAGGTACTTCAGCTGTCGTAGTTGCCGATTCACAGCCAGGGCTGCCCAGGGAACACGATGTGATCGGTGCCCCGTCCCTGTCCCTGGCTCTGGGGCAGTGCCGGGCACACGGCAAGCACTCAGTAAATAGTGCCGAACGTATCACAGCCGGAGTGCCTTCTCCGTGCCAGGCGCTAAGGTGACTACGAAGACAGACAACAGTCGCTAACGTTCATGGTCACCACGGTAGCTTTTCTACGTTCCAGAAGGATACTGTTATGACCAGCCCCTAATTTCACAGATGGCAGATGAGCCCCGGAGACGTCAACGGGCCCTGTGTCACATGGCTGGTCCACGGAGGAACCAGGGCTCGAGCACAGACTCCTGTTAACATTTATGCTGCCACTCTCTGACCTGACGGAGCCGGCTAACGGGGGGAGGCCACAAACGTACGCCAGCCACTGTGAACACCTGCGTGGAGGACGACAAATGCTGGGACCAGGACGGATGGGAACTGACCAGTAGTACGCTTTCGACCGGGAGAAGGAGGGTGGAGGGGTGTGAGAGGTTTGGTACAGCTGTTAACATCTACAGGAATTGTGCCTGGGTATCAGCGAGAGGACGCACGATGCACTCGAGGCTGAGCGCCTCAGACTAGAGTGATCAAAATTGCCCTCGCTGTGGTCTGCCTTCCATTTAGAGTCGCTCTCAGCTGGCAACTTACTGCTTCCGCTCTCTCTGAACAGCTGTTTCTGACTGGGCTATTTTGTTCTGCTATGTGGATGTTCAAAAATATTTTTTATTTAAGGATCTGCCTTGGGAAGAAACAACAATCTGAACGTTCCAGTCACAATTTCAACCCCGCTATCGTAACTGCAGTGGGAGCCCATTCAGCACACCTCCACCGAGGGGGAAGGAAGGGGTCATGGAGACAGAAAGGTCTGCAGTAAGCCATTTCCATGAGCTTTTTGCTCATAACTGAAGAGATGAGACTATTTCCAACCTTCTGCACCAGGAAAAAGTTTTCCATAGGATATCCATGCTTCAGTGGTCGTAACATTTTTTTTTTAATTGTACTTTGATGCCTCAGTGCCAGCAACCGAAACAAGGCGAGCAAACACAGATTTAAAAAAAGAGGAAGAAGAGAAAGGGGCGCCTGGGTGGCTCAGTTAAGTGGCCCGCTCTTGGTTTCGGCTCAGGTCATGATCTCAGGGACCTGGGATGGAGCCCTGTGTCCGGCTCCGCACTCAGCGGGACATCTGTTTCAGGATTTTCTCTTCCTCTGCCCCTCCCCCACTCCCTAAAATAAATAAAGAAATCTTTAAAAACAAAATTAGAAGAACAAAAGGTCCTGGATTCAGCTGGCAATGCAAGCAGAGCAAGGTGCCCCCCCCCGCGCCCCCCCCCCCACATCCCTGCCGAGGCTGCCTCCCTGACAGAGCAGGGTGCTTATGAGGCAGCTCCCAATCAACCCTCTCTCTCTCTCTCTCAGCTGGACAGACAGGAGACCTGGCTTCCACTATTTGCAATATCCCTTTGGGTCCCTGGTTCTGGTCTGCAGGAATCCCTGTATTAAATGCCATTCCTTGGCAGAAGAAGGAATACCCCAGAAATGACTGATTTCCCAGGATCGTGAAGATCAGAGGCGGCAAAGATGCACTGAGCACAGACATCCTGGCTTTGACTCTGGTCTTGGCTGCTTACGAGCTGGTGACCCTGGGTAAGTCACTTCACCTCTCTGTGCCAATGAAGAGAGTAACAGGCTTGTTTGTGGAGTATCTGTGAACTTCTGGCTGGCTCACTGGAAGGGGTGTGTAAGTGTTGGTGATAAATAATAAAGTCCTTCAGAAAGGGAGCCAGAACATGGGGCAGGATGGGGCATGGCGCTGGGAGGAGCAGGGCAGGAAAGAGGGGGGAATGAAGTGGGAGGGCGGGGGACAAAGCAGCATGGGGATGCGAGGCTGTCAGGAACCAGCTCACTGTCTGGGGGGCTACGTGGCTCTGCAGGAGCCCACCCCTGCCTGACTGGCTCACGCCCCCGGTGTCCCTCAGCACCACCACAGACGAGTCACTGAGGCTCTCTTCTGGTCCCTCCAATGCAGGGTGTGCCTTCCCACCTGAAGGCCTTTACCCATGCTGCCCCCTCTGCCCAGAATGCCCTCTCCTGTCCCCCCGAGGCCCTTCATTACTAGTCATCCTGTGGATCTCAGCTCTAGCAGCACGTTCTTGGGAAACTTCCCTGACCCACTTCCTTTCAAATCTGGGTTCTCAGAAGTCCCTGTATTTTTTTGTGGGACTTTATACAACTGTAGTTTTAAGTGTGTATTTATTTGTTTAGTGTCTGTGTTCCTGAGTGGAGGACGCACTTCTCTGGTTCACTCCTGAATTCCCAGATCAGCAAGTATTTACAGAACAGACGGGATGAATGAAGCTCAGCACTCAGACCCCACGTCATGCTCATGGCTGGACCTCTCCACAAGGATAAGGAGTAGAGAAAGACATTTCCCTGCTGTGTCCTAGGTGATCAGGGCCAGAAAACTGATGGTAGTAACATTTCCATTGCCTATAAAAGTCAACTGAATCAAAATTAGGCCTCTGAAGTGTTAACAATGAGCCTATTCAATGAAGACTACGTGTCCTACCAAAATGTTAGGAGAAATGCATTAGCTCAGTTATATAGAGAAATCTATCTGCAGCCCACCAAGAGGCTGACCGCGGCGAACACCAAAGCAGAATGCTTCCAAATGCTCCCACACCGGTACAGTTTGCCGGAGAGAGGGCTGGCCTGGGGGAATGTTTATTTCTGCATTTCTAAATATGAATAAAGTGGGCCAGGTAGTTTATTTAGTCTAAAATCACTTCAAGTTTTTTCTCAACAAATAAAATGAATCAAGGCCTTTTAAAAAGCCTTGTACACAGTTGGCAGGGATGTAAACTGATGCAGCCACTCTGGAAAACAGTATGGGGGTTCCTCAAACAGTTAAAAATAGAGCTACCCTAAGATCCAGCAATGCCACCTCTGGGTATTTATCCAGAGAGTTGAAATCAGGATCTCTAAGAGATATTAGTACTCCCATGCTTAGTGCGGCGCTATTTGTAGTAGCCAAGATATGGAAAGAACCTAAATGCCCATTGATGGATGAAGAAAACGTGATCTACAACAGATTAATATTCAGCCTTAAAAAAGAAGGAAATGTTGGGGCGCCTGGGTGGCTCAGTCGGTTAAGTGACTGCCTTCGGCTCAGGTCATGATCCTGGAGTCCCGGGATCGAGTCCCGCATCGGGCTCCCTGCTCGGCAGGGAGTCTGCTTCTCCCTCTGACCCTCTTCCCTCTCATGCTCTCTATCTCTCATTCTCTCTCTCTCAAATAAAAAAAAAAAAAAAAAAAGAAGGAAATGTTGTCAAATACGACAACATGGATGAACCTTGGAGGCTATTAAGCTAAGTGAAATAAGCCCATCATAGAAAGACAAATACTGCGTGATTCTGCTTATATAAGGCCATCTGAAACAGTTACGTTCACAGAATCAAAGGGTGGGATGGTGGCTGCCAGGGGCTGGAGGGGAGGAGGAAACGGGGAGTTACTCATCAGTAGGCTTCAAGGTTCAATTGGCAAGACGAATAAGCTCTAGACATCTCTGTCCAATACTGTGCCTGTAGTCAATCCTACCGTATCATACACTTAAATATGTGTTGAGAGTCGATCTCGTTTTAAATGTCCTTACAACAATAACATTAAATGAAAAAAATTAAACAGTAAAAGCTGTGACATGAAAGGATATGGTGTGAACCAGGATATAAGTGGGATAGGAGAGTCGTCTCCGCGCTAAACCTCCTCACAACAGACGCACCTCAGGTGCGGCCCGTCCTCTGGCCCGGGAGCCCACTCAGCGCTTAGCCTCGGCTCTTCAGGCTGAACATCTGGGCCCTCAAAGCCCGCCCGTGGTAGCTGCATCCCATGGGAGGCATAGACGGTTGCTAAGGCTCAAGCTCGAGCAGATAAGTGCACTGTAAACGTTTCAGGCTCAGATGCTGCAGCCAGGCTCCGGAGTGGCAAAGACCTGGGTTCAAATCCTGACTTCGCTGCTCACTAGCTGTGTGGCCTCAGGCAAGCCGCACGGGCTCCCCAGCTCCGGGGTGCCCTAAGGGACAAGGCACAGTGACTCCTCCCTTGCAGGGCTTGGGGGGAGGAGTCCTAGACACTGAATGATGCGGAAGGACTTCCCAGCACAAGGCAATGGATGAGCAGTCGCACTGGGGCTATTCTTCATCTCATTATCTTTACTAAACCCCAGCAAAAGCATGCACACCGATACCGGGAACGAGAAAATCTGCTGAGACCAGGGGGACATTCCCGTGAACGCCTAAGGGGCCAACAGGCAACAGAAATGGGTTCGGTGGGTCCGGAGGTGCCCACTGGAACTGCAGAGAGGGCACATGCCCCCCCCCGCCCCCCAAAATGGGGCAGCTGCTCCCAAGCTGTGGCCAATTGGCCAGGTCGGAGAATGTGGGCCCCACATGGCGGGATCGGATTCTTCAAGAGGAGCTGAAAATCCGGGTTTTTCTGTGATCCAACAATTTTTAAATGTGGGTAATTCATTCCAAATGTTTTCCATCATTATGTGGCCAAAAGAGCCTGTTTACGGGCTGGATTCCACCCACTGGTCATCCATGCGCAGCCCCAGGGACAGAGCTTCTGGGTCCCAAAGCACTTTCAGATCTGTTGTTTCATCCGGCCCTACAGCAGCCCTGCCAGGTGGGCATTCTGATGACATTTTAGAAAGGTGACAACTGAGGCTCCGAAGAGTTAGAAAACTTTCCCAAAGCCACAATGCTGCTGAGTCACTGGGTCAGACTGCACTCACGTTTCTGACTCCAAGCACAAGGCTTTTGTCAAGGCTCCAATGATTTTTGATGTGAAGAAAACCCCATGTGCAGAAGGAAAATGCATCCCAATTAACCAGTGAACAATCACATTAATCAGCTGGCTCCTTAGAAACTCTGATTCTTTTTGGTCCCCTCACTTGACAACTGGGCTATCCAAAAAAGAGAAACCGATGATACAAAGGACTAAGAAAGTAATCTGAAAACACTGAAGCCAAGCATTGAGCTCTTGGCCACACCATCCTCTCTCTGAAGAACTTGGGATCTCAACTGCGACACTTGGAAACCGAGTCATTTTTTGTCTCCTCAGCTCCTCCAAGAGACCATTCGAATGCCAGACAATTCACCCACACAAAATGCACACTTCAGCGATAGTTAGTATAGTCACAGAGATGTGCAACTGTCACCACAATCAATTTTAGAACATTTGTGTCACCCCAGAAAGGAACCTTGTACCCATGAGAGCAGAGTTACTTCCTGTCAATGTGTGGTCCTAGGACCGTCCACCCCTGACTTACTCAAGAGGCTTTCAAAAATGCTGACTCAGGGCCCAATCCCAAACTCTTCAGTGAGCCTCTCTGGAAGAGGGGTCCCAAAAATCTGTATTTTAACAAGGATTCCTGATTCCTACAGACATTTGGCTCTAGCAGGAGCCAGTCTTGTTTTGTGCCTGGCCCTGTCACAGCCTGGTGAAGGCTACGGGCTCCTCAGAACACAATTTTTAATGCAGAAAATAAAATACACAAGACTACAAAGGAAACCGATTATGCTAAAATATACTTGTCAACATATTTTTTTCAATGTATTTGTCATATCGTGTTCTGTTACTTCTTGGTGAATACATTTAATTAGCCATCTTCTGAAATATGTCACACCTGAAATGTGTTAAGAACATATGGCTGATTTTGTTGGTGACAAAGTCCCAGCTATGTCACTACTATGTGGCCCGTTGCCTATAACTCACAGTGAAGCAAAGGGCTAAGTTTATTCACTGAGATTTGTAAAAATTAAGATTTTTTTTTTCTCATCTAAATTCGTGGTTGCCCCTGCCAGACCTTCAGGGAGTAGGCAGACCCCGAGTTAAGAACCCCTGCTAGATACTGAGGGTCATGGCACTGGGTCTGGAGAGGGGCTTTGATTCCTGCCAGCTCAAGCCTGACTGCTTGTCAGTATGTCCCACGAGAAACCCCAGCACGCTTCCAACAATGTCTCCTTTGACCTCAGCCACCTTGTTTTGGTTTCTAGTAGTTGCCACTGAAAGAACATCACCATCACCTTTTACAGGGTTGAGTATGTGCCAACTGTTCTAATCGCATATGTATATTCACTCCCTTAACCCTCCCAACAATCCAGAGATAGAGACACTATTATTATTTCCATTTTATAGATGAGAAGACTGCAGCCCAGTCATGGGACATGACTGCCCGAGCCTGCAGAGCTGGAAGGAGGGGGAGCCGAGGTTCCACCCTAGGCATCTCGGTACCAAGACCTGAGCCCTTACCCAGTAAGTGGCACCCCCTTGACCATATGAGAACCTCAACTAAGACACCCAGGACACATAATGAATGTAAAATATACTGAGTAATTTAGGGGCACCTGGCTGGCTTGGTCAACAGAGCATGTGGGATCTCGGGATCATGGGTGTGAGCCCTGCATTGGGGGAAGAGATTATGTAATAAATAATAGTTAAAAAAAAAAAAAAAGAAGAAGATAAATTGAGTCATTTAAACATCTGACTAGAAAACCAACACAAAGATACAGATAGGACGTCCCTGCACTTTTAGGGCTAAGAATGTATATAAAGCAGATCAAAGAAGGACATCACCTATAGCTCTTCTGGCAAAACGTACCGGAACTATTAATAAAGTAGAAAAGAAATTGCAGAGGAATTCCAGAAGGAATGACTCCGACGGTCGCATCTTTCCATCGATATTAATCATCTTTGGAACTTCTGGAATGAGGCTTATAGCGGCTTTGAAAAAGGCATCAGCTGCAAGACAGAAGAAAAGTCTGTGTATGAGAAGTCCGAAAAATTCAGGTTCTGCTCTGTTCTTCACTGGGCCTGCAGGCCCGTCCTGAGAGTTCTGTGGAAGTTGGGCCACGTTGAGGGCCCCATACAGTGGGCAGGTCCCACAAGAGGGTTTCTGCAACCTTAACCGACTGGTGGAACATTCAGTTGAGAGGGCACTGCTGTTGCCTTCCATCTCTCCCTCTCTCCCTCCTTCCTTCACTGAGCAACTCAGCTCAAAGAACTGCAAACTGGCTTTAAGAATTAAGTGAAATAAGCAAGTGGCAAATTTTTATAGAAAGCCAAGAAATCACAGCTGTGGGGACTGAGGGCTCAACCTGGACTGGTTGCCGGAACCCTCCAGCACCCCGCGTGTGGAAGCACAGTCACCGGGCCCACTTCACAGACAGGAACCAAGGTGTGGAAGGACGAGTGGTCCTGCGTCAGGGTCCTGGGTACACTGAGGCAGAGTAGGGCGCAAACTCCCATCTGTCTGCGTCTACCCTAGCGCACCCTGAATTTGTTAAAGAAATAACTGAGACATCTGAAGGAATCCACACGTGCACACACGCACATACGTGCACACATGCATACACAGCTTTAGAGACTTCCGACTAGGTGAATCGTTCCAGAGAATCACTTGGGAAATGAAGATATTTTAAAAAAAGATTTAGTATTCCGTAAAACAAGAAGACCTCAAAGGGTGAGAGAAAGCAAGGCAAGGGGAGAGGAAGAAGAAGAGGGGGATGGAAAGAGGAAGAGCTGGGTGGGAGGCAGCAATGGGAGGACAGAGACAGGAAGGAATGGATGGGGAGAGGAGGAAGGACTGAGGTGGGGGCTGAGAGGGAGACAGTTCTTTCTAGAACTGCCAAAGCATTCACCATGAGAAAAAGCCTCAAGGTCAAAACAGACAAAACACTGACCTGACAAGTGAAATCTTAAACTACCCAAGAAGATCAAACGTTTGCATGGTCCAAATAAGTACACTTCCACTCTGGAACGACTCCCAGTGATGCGGAGAGGACACGGCACTGGCACACGGCATCCTGAACCCCCGCCGGAACCCCACCCAGCACCCCAGAGGGGCACATGCAACAACAAAGGCCTGCACTTAATGAGAAGAGTGTGCGGCTGCAGCTGGTGGGGGGTGGGGTGCCTTCTCTTCCTTCTTCAAAGCAAAAAAAAAAAAAAAAAAAGACAACAAAAACCACGTTAAGGAAAGGCAGCTCTCTCAGAGCTTTCCAGAAACTCCCTTCCCAGGCTGTCTCTCCCAAACTGAACTCACAACCCTACCACATTCACCAAGCGGTGAACAGGCACTGTGAGCACACAGAGAAAAGGAGGCGAGAGTCGACATCGGGGTGAGACCAACGTGATCACACTAAACAACTATTTTCTCGGAGCCTGTTGTGTCCTTTGGTCGGCGGGGGGTAGGACACAAAGCAGCTGATGTCCATCTTGTCGGACAGAAAGAGATTAGATACAGGGCCTCTGGGAAAAGACACCTGATGCGGACTCTGGTAGACAGAGGTAGAGGCTGAAGGGTCTCCTGTCTCAGGCTACAGACAGTAGTAAAAGGTAGCGTTGGAGGGAACCAGGGAGACTCCCAGGCCCTGTCGTAAAGCAGTCTGTATTCTTAGTCCTCGGCAGTCCTGTGGGGAAGGCACAATGGTTTCCATGCCCACATAAGGAAATAGGCTCAGAAAGTGAGTGGCCAGGTTAAAGTAGCCCAGGGATGGTCAAGGCCATCGCCCACTCTAAGCAATGCAATCAAATCTGCACTAAAAAAAAATCAACCTGCAACTCCTAGATCTGATAAGGGGTTTGTATCTAGAATATATGAAGACATTCTCCAGCAAGAGCAAAACAGGTAACCTGATCAACAACGGGCAAAGGACCTGAATAGACATTTCTCCGAAGAAAACACACAAATGGTCAACAAGCACATGAACGGATGCCCAACGTCAATAATCATTAGAAACATGCAAATCAAATCCACAGTGAGATTTCATCCCTAGGAGATAACATCAGGATGGGCACTGCTGAAAATCAGTGACTAGCAGGCGTTGGCAAAGATGTTGAGAAACTGGAACACTGGTGCACCGCGGGTGGGGACGTGAAACCGCTCAGCGGCTGTAGGAACTGGCTTGGTGGCCGCTCAGAAAGTGACACACGGACCTACCACCTGGCCCCGCAGCTCCACTTCCAGGAGTACCTTCCAAAGAAATGATGGCAGGGACTCAAACAGGTACGTGTGCAAGAGTGTGTGTGGAAGCACAGGTCACAAGGGCCAAACAGCGGCAACAACCCGGGCATCCGCCAGCAGAGGAACAGATAAGCAAAATGCGAAACATCCACACCATGGGATAGCATTCAGCCTGAGAAGGAAGGAAATTCTAACACGTGCCCCAACATGCACGCATCCTGAAAACATCACGCTAAGAAAATAGATCGGACCAGAGGACAAATGCATAGGATTTCGCTTTCCTGAGGCAGAGGAGTTGAATTCGTAGAGCAGACAGCTGAATGGGGAGCGGGGTATAGTTACTGTTTTCAGGGATATGCTTTTCATTCAGTCTGGGATGAGGAAAACGTTCTGGAAATGGACAGGGGTGAGGGGGTTGCATGGCATTGTGAATGCACCTAAAGCCAGTGAACTGCACACTGAAAAATGCTTACAGTGATACATTTCATATCACTGATACGTAACCACACTACACGATAAAGAAACAGAGCTGAATTCACCACTGCCATTACCCCCCTTTAAACTCAGGCAGGCCTGGACCCCACCAGGTCTGGCTGTCTTCCTTCTGCGGGAAAAGCTCTCTGTCCCCATGGCTCTATAGCAATTGCTTTCTGGTGAAAACATTAAGTCCATAATGAACAAGGTGAAGAGCCTCTCTCAGCGGAATCCAAAACTCTGCTCAGAACAACTTGAAAGACCATTTATTTATTCTATTTATGCGTTTGTTACCAAGTGGCCCCAAGAAAAGTGCCTATTATTATGCCTCATTAAAGAGGGAGCAGCTTTGTGCCTGGCGCTCTGTTCCTCACAAATGCCCCACTCAGTTCCCATTCCAAAGGAGAGAGCTAAAATAAACAGTTATTTAGGGGTTGGGGCAGGCAATGTTCCACAGTGTTCCAAAGCAGATTTTTATTTCTATCCTCAGAAGACTTACTCCATATATAAAATCTTATCTAGGAGACTTCTCAATTTCGACTTTGTAATTAGGGCTCAAATCCTACTGTATATGAAAACAGTTTTTCCTCATGGAGTTTGGAATAATCTCATCAATACCACTGAACACTTCTGTGGCTATTAGAGAGAAAGAGAGAGAGAGAGAGCACACACGCATCTCCAGCAGACACCACGCTGAGTGCAGATCTCAGGACCCGAGCCAAAATCAAGAGTCAGATCCTTAACCAACTGAGCCACCCAGGCACCCCTTGTTTTGTTTTAAAGACCTACAGATAAAGGAGAAATCAGATTGCCATCCACAAAGACTATTATTCCTGTTTCACAAGGGGAAGGAAAAAGCAGGTATATGTACAAGCTTCCCTATGCTATATCTTTTTCTACCTGAATCTTCTGAGGTTTCATGTAACAACCAGGCTTCTTTTCCACAACCCACTTAAAAAAAAAAAAAGAAAAGAAAACCAAAAATACCACTGAGGCCCAGCTGGTCCCACCCTAGAGTTCATTCTGACGTGTCCTTCAGTGCTGCCGGCTACTGGCCGAGGGCAGACACAGCCAGCATCCCTGCTCCCAGGAAGAGGGACTGAGCTCCTCTCAGAGCCAGTTTTCCAAAACTGCTTTATCATAAGAATCATCAGAAGCCATGCAAAAAAAATACAGATTCCCAGGCTCAATATTGCCGATGGGAACGTATCACGGTACAGCTGCTTTGCAGGACCCGGCAGTTCCTCTGAACGTACGTGGATGCCACGTACACATACATACAGGGTCCAATATGGGTGAGCCTTGAAATCATGATGCTAAATGAAAGGAGTCGATCATAAAAGACCTGTATTGTAAGACTGCATTTTTACATGAAATAGTAAGAAAAGGCAGCCCCAGAGAAACAAAAAGTAGACGGGCACCTGCCTGGAGCTTGGGAGAGGGGAACAGGGACTGACTACTTAATGGATCAGGGACTGCCTTTCGGGGTGATGAAAATGTTCTGGAATTAGTGACGACAGTTGCGCAACTCTGTGAATGCCCTAAAGCCCACTGAATTGTACACTTAGGAGAAGGATGGATCTTATGATACATGAATCAATCAGATCTCACTAAGCTGTCGTTTAAAAAATATCTATGAATTCCCAGGTGTCACCTTAAATGTATTGAACCACACTATCCAAGATAGAAACTTGGAAATCTAACTTAAAAAAAAAAAAGCTTTCAATAGGTACTAGAGCCACAGGATTCAAAATTCCAAAGGTAACACTCCTCACTCCCATCCCCTGCCATCCAGCTACCCTTCCCTGAGGCAAAGCATATTATCTGCTGCTTGACACCATTTTGCAACTCCCTTCACCCCCACCTCACACTTAACAATAGGTCTTCAAGATGATTCCATCACTGGGGCACCTGGCTCAGTCTGTTAAGTGTCCAACTCTTGATTTCCACTCAGGTCATGATCTCAGGGTCATGGAATCGAGCCCCAACATCAGCTCTGTGCTCAATGCAGAGTCTGCTTGTCCCTCTCTCTCTGCTCCTCCTCTCTCTCTCAAAATCTTAAAAAAAAAAAAAAAAATTCCATCATTGCACATAAAGTACACCTTCATCTTTTTTTTATAGCTACTAAGTGAAATCTGGTCCATGTGCTTTTTCTTCTCTTTGTGTGTGTGTCGGGGGGGGCACAAAATACATATGACATAAAATTTACCACCTTCATCACTTAGTACATTTGTTTCTTTAAACAAGCTTCTCTAGTGAGTTTTGGAATTCAAGAGGTTTGCAAGAAACTGTTCTAAACTGT